ATCGAACCAGTTTCTTTTGGTGACAGGGTCTCACTAGGTGTGTGCCACTGTGCGGGGTCCCTCACTTCTTCCAAGTGCCCCAGTTGCAGTGAATTAAGGAGCCACCTTTGTGACCCAGATGGCCTTGGCTGCCACATCGCTGAGTGTGGCCAGGACGAGGGCTGGATGGAGGGGACCTGCCCCAGCTCTGTCAGGAGAGAAAACCAGGCCCTGCGTTTATGTCCCCTTCATCATGGTTGGGCCACAGCCATTCCTAGGGCTATCACGGCTCAGCACACAGAACAGAGCCAGGAGGGAGGCAGACTCGCAACAAATGCTGGCCACAGGCACAGGTGCAGCCCAGGAACAGCCAGGAGCAGGGCTGATCGGCAGTGTGGCCGGGCGAGTATCAGTCGCCTGCCTGTCGGAGGACAGTTTCCATGGCACTGCGGTGTTCTTGCCACTTGGCCGTCGTGGGGCGGAGGGAGGCAGTGGCCCCAGTCCCACCACTGTTCACAGTGACACCTGATTCTAGCAGGCACCGTCACAGGCCGGAGCCCCCCGCACATAGCGCTGCGAGGGAGAACTTTCCGGGTAACACAGCCCCCTGAGGGGCCGAGCTCACAGTCAGGAGAGGATTGGACTGGATGGAGGTCCCTGCACAGGACCTCCTGTCCCCCTCTGCCCAACCACGCTCCTGGGGAACCAGGGCAGGGGTGATGTCACGCGGATCAGGGATGCTTTGTTAGGAACCCGCCTGTCCCCTCTGTCACTGGGGGGGCCTGAAGTGGGCTGTTTGATCGGGTTTTCCTGTCTGTCCTGCGGACCCACCCTTCCTTTACACTTTCACGCCAAGCAAAGCCTGTCTTTAACTGTTCCAGGGCATAAAAACATTTTAGACCCTTGCTGGATGTGATAGTGCACGCCTGTAACCCCAGCACTCTGGAGGCTGAGGCAGGAAGATCAATGCAAGTTCAGGGCCAGTCTGGGCTACATAATGAGGCCCTATCTCAGCACCAGCTGAACCCAGCCCAACCTTATCTTTTAGGCCCTTAAAAAACGAGCTTAGTGGTGAAGGCACAGAGTGGAAATTTCAGTATTCCGCGTATCTTTTGAAAACTGGGGTGGCCTTCGTGGGGAACCAGGAGACAGCCCAGAAGTCTTCCCTGCCTGGCCCCTGGCCTGGCTCCGGTAGGCACGAGGCCTGCTTGGGTGCCACCCTGCAGCCCTACCTCAGCCCATTCTCACCATCCTGTGCCAACTTGGCCCTGGTCTGAAGAAGGGCAGAAGAGGACTCGCCCGTGCCGGCTCCCTGCCCTTGGGTGCACGCCGGGCACCGAGCTCAAACGTGGCGCTCATTAGGAAGCACACACTTCCCGCCGCTCCCGCCGGGTCTCAGCCAGTTCAGTTCCGTGCGTCACACGTGTAGCTGCAAGGAACAGAGACCCGTGCGGGGCGCAGGTGGGCCGAGCATGTGTACCAAGGTTCCCCATGTCCCTCTGCTGTGCCTCTCCAGGCTGGTGGCCCTTGTCCTGGGCGAGGCGGAGGTGCCAGGAGGTGCAGGCCAGTGACAGCCTCTCCCATCCCTGTGCCGTGCGATTCAGGGCTAGAATGTCCTTGTTCTTCTTGCTTTCTGACTCTGAGATTCCTTTCATTTACCTGAAAGACACTCTCATTTCCGCCTCTGTGTCGCTGTGTTAGCCACTTCCTGTACCTGGGTCACCCTTCCTGCAGTGATGCGCAGCTTTTGAAGGGCCCAGCTCACAAATATGTCAGGCAGGTACCATGGAGCCCGGATGCAGCTGCAGGACAGCAGCCTGTCCTGAGAGTGCGTGTGCTGCTCCAGCAGAGCTCTCAGAAGCAGGCGGCCGGCCTCTCTCTTCCAGGATGGGGGACTGAGGCCAGGGCCGTCACTGGAGCGCAGGCGGTGCCTCTGTCCCCAGACACTGGGGCCTGTCGCTGGGACAGAGGACATGCTCCTCGTGTCTGTGCAGTTCTCCATCCCGGGAGCCTCTGAGGAGGCCGTGTCCAGTCCATGCCCCGCCGGATGTCACCAGCTGTCTGCCCGCACGCCACCTCTTCGCCTCCTCGGTGTCCTTGAATCTGAGACCGGGTTTGTCTTGGCCTGTGTGACGCTGTCATTTTCAGCCGATTGCTGGCAAATGGTTCGCAGACTGCGCCTCCGGTGGAGTCTGTCTGATGTCTCTTCATGATGACAGCCGGGGCCGGGCCACCAGAGGAAGGACACTGTGTCCCTCTCGTGTGTCGGATGGGGAGGCCCGGTTGGCTTTGGTTCTGCTTGCTGGGTGAGGAGTCCCAGATGTCCCCACAGGAGCTCCTACTTCCGTGTCACTGTCCTGCGGGCAGAGGAGCGGGGACGGTGTCCTGTCCCGGACAGTCCTCCCCTGCTGGCTTGGGCCCATGGTGTCTTGCTGACACAGGGGTCTCAGACGTTTCTGGTCCTCGCACCTTCACGTTCATCCCTCGGCCTCGCTGCAGGGAGGATGACTCTCCCCTTCACCCACCTGCGACACGTGGGTGCCGGCTCCGACACGGGCAGCTACTCCGTGCCCACCCTGCCGGCGCGGGGCCTCGGTGCGGTGCCTCTCTGCTCCTCACGCAGAGTGTGCAGATCGCCCCGCTCTGAGCAGCTGCAGCTGGTCCACCTGGCGCCAGGAGCTCCTGATGCCCCGCCCTCCCACACTTGCTGGTTTCTGGCACAGTGAGAGCCGCCCCCGTCCATCTTGTACCAGTCCTGCCCAGTCCTGGAGTGCACTGTCCGCCCCGGAGCCTGGTCCCTGAGGGGGTGAGGTCCCCCGATACCCGGAGGATGCTCCCTGGTGGGATGAGGGTGGAGGGAGGGTGCTATGCATCCACACAGCAGATGAGGAGAGCTCAGCCCAGACCCGGAGATGGGAGCAGAGGCCTGGAAGCAGGGACTCGGTGTCTGACACGGCTTCCTCCACAGCCCAGGAACACTGTGTGGCTTTGTGTGGGCCCCGGTGCCTTTGACCTGGGAGCCCCTGGTGTAAGGAGTGGGAGAGGAGGGCTGCAAGCTAGGGTACCAGTTGGAGGGCTGAGGCCCCCTGCAAACAGCAGTGCCCGGGAGTGGTGAAGCCCTGGAGAGAGACCGGGGATCCAGAGGGGTCTCTTCACAGGGACAGGGTCTGAGCGGGGCCGGGTCCTGTCTGCAGCAGCTAGCACAGCACACCTGGCAGTGACCTCTCAGCTGCTGTTTCCTGAGCAAGTGGTTCCCGAGACCTGATGTCTCCCTGAGACCAGGAGGCTACCCACACCCTCACCCACCTGTCCGGCGTTTTCCACCCACCCACCATGCACCTACCTGTCCACCATCCATACATTCACTCTTCATCTTCATCCACGTGGCGCACGTCCTCCGCCCGCCCGCCCAGCCATCCGTTCCTCACCCTCCATCCGTGTCTGTCCAGCCCCATCCACCCGTCCCCACCCCACCCCACCCGTCACGTGGATCTTACGTTTGCGCAGAGGAGGCGGGCAGTAAACACGAGAACAAGGTGCACACATTATGTGCTGTGGGGAAGACGCCAGGAAAGCAGATGGGAAGCGCTGGCTGGGTTCTTGGTCCAGGCAGGCGCCACTGCAAAGGGCAGAGGGAGGGGAGCAAGGCGAGGAAGGTGCAGCGGCCCTCCAGGAGCTTGCGCAGGGCAGGGATGCAGAAAGGGGCCCCCTGAGTCGAGACAGACAGGATGTGCCCAGCGGTGAGAGGGACAGTGAGGGGCAGGGGCGGGCATTCGGCTGTGGGTGGGACCTGGGCTGTGACCCCAGGGAGATGAGGAACGCGGGGTTCTGAGAGAAGGAAGGGCAGCGTCCACCTCCGCTTTCAAAGCTGTTCGTGGCCCCCAAGGGGAAGGGGCGGAGGTGAGCACCCGGGTTGGCTGATTAGAGGTGGAGCAGCAGGGAGCGGGAGGCTTTGTCCAGAACGTGGGTCCGGACCAGAGCCCAAGCTTCCCCGAGAGACCCAGGGCTGTGCCCCATCCCACCCTGCTGCTCCCTGCCACACCCCACCAGGCAGGCGCAGCTGTCCCTATTTAGTAGGTAGGGGAACAGGCTGGAGGAGGCTAAGCCTGCTGTTCCAGGTCCCCAGGCACGGTCTGAGCCCTGAGCAGACGTCTGGCTCACCCTTCCTGCGGGGCGGAGAACAGGCCCACGTGCCTTAGCTCCTGGGGGCTGTGACAGGACCAGATCCCCCCTGAGCCCCGCCGCCCTCACCGCCACCCTCCCAGGCCCTGGGGTCCCTCCCTGAGCAGCTGGCCGCACCCGAGTGCCTCGTGCCAGGCGAGCAGGGAGACCACGCTTTGTCACTGCGCAGAAGTGTGTCAGGAGCGAGTGTGGCCACCCCACCTCCGTCCCCTCAGGCTGCCCAGGCCCCTCTGGCTCCTTAGGCAGGGGACGGGCACT